GACGACGAGGCGCCCCAGGGTGGGGGGGCTCGCAGATCCCGGCGGGCTGCCGTGGGTCAGCCAGCAAGACCCCCAGTCTCCCTGGTCTCCCCGCCAGCAGCGAAAGGACTCCCAGGGCAGGCGCTGGGGCACCGCGGGCTCAGCAGCAGCTTCCACCCCTGCACCCATGGGGGCGTCGGCCCAGCCCAGAGCTCAGGCCCCCTGTCACTCACATGGGACACCTGGGTGGAGCTCCAGGCTCCTGGCTTCTTCCTGGCTCAGCCTTGGCTGTTATGGGCATTCGGGGCGTGAACCAGCGCATAGGAACCCCCCACCGCCCCTGTATCCCAGAGGATGGGGCCCTTGGCGGGGGCTCTGGCCCTTCCGCCCGCCCCGAGGCCCACCCGAGCCTGGCCTGGGCCAGCGTGGATGTGGACAATTTCGGTTCCTTCTTAGGGGCAGCTGGGTCAGCCCAGCGCGGGGTGGGGCAGCCACAGTGGGAGGGAACTGGCGGCTGGGCTGTGGGAAGGGCTGGGCACGGCATAAGCCAAGTGCCAAGTGCCATGCCCCGGGGGCCGCCTGCGTGCTGGGTGCTGACTGGGTGGGGTGCACCTGGGGCAGGTGAGGCGGTGGCGCCACGCCCAGACACACGCTCCCAGTCCCCCACCCTCCCGCCTTCCCTGCGCAGCCTCGGGGTGGGTGGGGGAAGCCCCCGGGCTCCCTGCTCCCTCTGCGGGAAATGCGCTTCCCGCTGGCTACCTGCGTCGCCAGGCCCTCTGTGCTTTGGGTCTTTACTCAAAACCCGCCTTCCCGGGGGACCTGCCTGGTCCCCGCCCAGCAATGCCTTGAACAAGCCCCCGCCTCTCCTCCTGCACCTGCGCCTGCCGCCGGCGGGGGGGGGGGGCACTGAACTTTTCTCCTAAAACATAGCTATGGAAGTGAAATTCCTCTATCTGCTTTCTTATACTCTTATTTATTTATTTTATTTGGAAGGCAGAGAGTAAAGAGGAGAGGGAGAGAGGGAGGGAGGGAGGGAGGAGAGAGGAGAGAGATTGGTTTCAACACCTGCTGGTTCGCCCCGAATGTCCATAATACCCAAGGCTGGGAACTCCACCCAGGCCTCCCACATGGGAGCAGGGGCCCAAGGGCTTGGGTCATCTTCCACTGCCTCCCAGGGTGCGCATCAGCGGGAAGCCGGAAGCTGGGATTGGAAGCAGAAGCAGGACTCGAACCCGGCTCTCAGGTCCCGGTACGGACGTCCTGAGCACCTGCTGCGCGCCCACAGCCACTTCCAGGTGACAACCAGTGGCACTCAGCGCCACAGCACCGCGACACCAACACCTCCGAGCCGTCGCACAATATTCCCAGGGCTCCAAAGGGAGGCCAGGGAGAGAGGCGGCGCCAGGCCTGTGGGGCGCGCCCCGCGCTGCCCCGTTGGCGCATGAGTCAGGGGCTCGGTCCCCCCGAGTCTGAGGATTTCCCATGGCAGGGAGAGGCCGCACGTCCCTGGGACGCTTCCACCTGGCCATTCACCTCCGGGCGGCTGCAGACTGGGGGCCTAGGCCTTCCCGGGAGAGGCCGGCCAGGTGAGGCCAGGTGTGCAGCGTGGTGCATTCTGGGAGCGCGCAGGTGGGCCGCAGGGGGAGCTGGCGGCCGGAAGTCGCAGGACTCAGCAGGCCGGAGGGGCAGGGGCGGGTGGGGGCAGGAGGGAGACTGGGGGAGACGCGGTTGGGAGGCGAAGTCCCCAGGGCCTGGCGTGGCGGCCGCAGCCTACTTCTGGTTCCCAAATTCCTCTTTCCAGTCCTCGTGACTCACCGTCCCCTCCCCACAGCACCCCTATTCCCGACCACAGGGGCCTGCAGGCGGCGCTGGACAGAGGGAGTGGGCGGCGGCGGCGGGTCAGCCCCCACCCCACGCAGAGGCCGCTGTGCGGGAGAGGCAGGAGCGGGCACGGGTGACGGCCACGCTGGCCGCTGCAGGAGGCTGCGTGAGGCTCGGGCTGGTGTTGGGGCGCTGGCCGCACCGCAGGGCTCCCACTTCCCCCGCCGGCCCCCTGCAGCTGCGCACCTGCTGGGCGCTGGTCACTGCGGCCACACCCACATGAGAGACCCGGATGGAGCTCTGGCCTGCCGGCTCCGTCTGGCCCAGGCCCCTTGTGGGCATTTGAGGAGCAGGCCGGTGGGTGGAACAGTCTCTCTCTCTCTGCCTTTCAACTAAGTAAAAGTAAATAAAAATTCAAACAACAGGTGTCCCACGTCCCCGGGGACACACACACCCCATTCCCACGGCCTGGGCCGTCACAGCATTCCCGCCCCTGGCCATGAGACTGGGCCACCGTGATCGTGGACCTGAGCCCTCCTCCTACGGGAAGGTTTCACCTGAGAAACACCCAGCTGAGTGCCTACTGTGTGCCAGGGGTGCGTTCTGCTGCTCCCACAAGGGCACGAGCACTTACTGAGCACCTGCTGTGTGCGGGGTGGGGGGGGCCACGGTGCTGGCTGAGTGAGGAAAGGTTCCTGCCCTCATGGAGACACGGACAGTAAGGAGCTTACCAGGCAGCCAGGAGCTGTGCCGAAAACGACATAAATCCGTGAGGGCTGGCGACGACCAGGCGGCCGCAGAGTGAGTAGTCAAGGAGGCCTTCCTGGAGGAGGTGACATGGGCTGTTTCACAGGAAGTCAGTGTCTCACTCTGGCCAATGCCTGCCCCTTTGAGCTGGGGCCCTGTCGCCCTGCTCCTGCCACTACTCCCCCTCCTCCCCGTGCTGCTTCCAGCCCCCGGCCGTCCCCACGACTTCGAAGAGCTGTCCCCCTTCCTTCCGCCCTTGCTCCAAGCTGCCATCGCCTCACGTGTGGCCCGGCCACGGCAGCTCGGAACACCGACACCCCACAGCCACCGGGCGCCGCGGCTTTTGGCGCTCGCTATCTTTATACTTGAGCAGTGAAGTCCTGTTCCGCTGTGCAGTCCCGTGGCATCCAGGGCCCTCAGACCTCTCTAGTTCCAGAATGTTCTCCTCACGCCGGTCTGAGGCTGCTCCCCCCCCACCCCCCGCCCTGATCCACGAATCCCTTGCTTGGCCGGACTCCACTGAGGACTGAGACTGGCTTATCTGCCACCTGCTGTGAACACTCGGGGTGCTTCGAGTTTATTTTCTTTTTGAAAGACAGAAGAAGGGGGGGGGGAGAGGGAGGATGAGAGAGAGGGAGAGAGGATGAGAGAGAGGGAGAGAGGATGAGAGAGAGAGGATGAGAGAGGGAGAGAAGATGAGGGAGAGAGGATGAGAGGGAGAGAGGATGAGAGAGGGAGGGAGAGAGAGAGAATGAGAGGGAGAGAGGATGAGAGAGAGGAGGAGAGAGGATGAGAGGGAGAGAGGATGAGAGAGGGAGAGAGAGAGAGAGAGGATGAGAGAGAGAGAGGATGAGAGAGGGAGAGAGGATGAGAGAGGGAGAGAGGATGAGAGAGGATGAGAGAGATCTTCCACCTGCACGTTCGCTCTCCAGTGCCTGCGACAGAGACAGGGCCAGCCCACACTGGGGCC